GTTAATACACCCCATATAGGCTTTGGCAACATGTCACGAAATGCTAAAGGAATTAGTCTTTGCATAAAAACATGACAATCATGACTTTTCAACCCATATATTTTCCCTTCATCTACATTAATATTACGTGATATGTTAGATGCATATCCATCTGGAAATTTTAGTTGTTTTATCCATTCACACACCATCTTTCTTTGTTCAGAATTCAAGACATATGTTGCCTTTGGTTTTTTATACTTATCATTTTCCACCACCAGCTCTAATCTAGGACGTTTACATATCAATCTCAAATCTTGTCTTGCATTTGCAGTATCTTTCGTCTTGCCCTTTATGTCCATCACAATGTTAAACATTTTAAATCACCTATTTTTGTTCAATAAAGCAAAGAATTGAAGCTATGTATAACAAATTTCATTTTTAGGCGATAGACAATTAACTATGGATGAAACTTAAACACATATATTGAATAAAATTAAACATCCAAAAACTCAAATCACATGGTAACATTCAAAATGAAGAAGAGATTACTGTGAGAAAATGTGAGCGACAGCGCGTGCAGAAGCGGCGCAGGACAACAGCGGAAGTGGCGCGGGATAGCAGTGGAAGCGGCACTAGACAGTAGCGAAAGCGGCACGGAACAACAACGACAATGACGCGGGAGTGGGCAACAGGAGCAAGAACAGCGCGGGAGCGGTAGCAAGAGCGACAAGGAAGCAGCAGGAGCGGCAGCGGAGCGAGAGCGACAGCAGGAGCGACGAGTGGGAGCGGCAATAGGAGCGACAGGGGAGCAGCAGCGAGAGCGAGAGTGGCAACGATGGTAGTCAACTAGGTTTATGAGATAATTACGTATGAAGAAGATGGGAAAAAATTAATTTAGATTTTTATTAAAAGAATTATAAAAAAAAAGATAAATTAGTACTTCGAATATAATAATTTTTTTATTTCTTATAAAGAATAGTTTCTAAAAAAATTATAAAGAAATATTATTTATAAATTTTTTCTATTAATTTAAATATTATTAAATATTTCCAACAAATTTAAATTTATAAAAAACTTACAAAAAAATATTTATCAATTTTTTAGATATGTTTTCAAAAAAATTATAATTATTTCCAAATAATTTATTTTAGACACAAAAAATAATTTATATATATAATTATATATTTATAGTAAATTTGGTAAAAATAATTTTTTTAAGAAAAAATTGTAATTAATTTTTATTGATATTTTTTCAAAAAGATCAAAATTATTTTTGATAATTATATATTTTTAGAGAAATTTACAAGTATTTTTTTATAAAACTAAAATAATTTATAAGAATGGTTCTCAATAATTTAATATTTTTTTCAATCTGATAGTTGTTATAAATTTGCTACAGTTTAACTATAATTGTATATTACACAATTTAGCTAGGAAATAACTTCAAAAAGTAACATAACTAATATTTATAGCGAGAGATTAATGACAAAAATTTTCTTAGCTAAATTATTTTTCTGCTAAGTGAAGGAATAATTACACAAATATGAGTCTTGTAGCTATTTTACTACAAATTAGCTACAACCTTATTATTTTATTATTTTATAGCTAATTAGCTACAAATTAGTGAAAAATAAATTTTGTAACAAATTTTGTTAACTAATTATAAAATTTTTTGTAGTGTTATATACAATCTATTGCCTATGAAAAGACAAAAAGGAATAACAAAAAATTGCTAACAGATGATCGAGAAGAGGGTGAGGTGTTGCATCACCTAAATACAATACAAAAATCTCTAATATGTACTACTTAACAGAATATACAATTGTATCAAAAAGAGACAAAATCCTGTATAACATGGGCTTATATATTTCTATTTTTGGGTTGCTAGTTTATTGAGATGGTGTGAATCCTCTCGATCTTCCTCTTTTATAAATCAGCATTGAGTTTCTCCCCGTTGTGGTACCAATTTATTAGGTAGCCCGTTGCTGCTTGTACCATGAATATTAGGGTCAATGAATGCCAATAGGTGGTGCACTTACGCACCAAAAGTTTAGACAGCATTATAATTATAGCGACTTCCGACCTCTCCCTGCTCCACAAACTCTGATATCTTTCAACTCCTAATGGATTTCTGAAGAATAACTCCGAAGTCTACTGTAGAAGCCCAAGATGCTCATATATGCATGCTCCCTAAAAGTTTCTACACCATTACAGTGACACACCACCTCACTCCCAGGTCCAAGTGCTCTATTCATCCTGTATGTAAACACCATCATTGAAACCTAGCTAACTACATACCTTTACTAGGGTAACATGCATTTTACCAAAAATGAACTCCTATCAGTGAGCGTGGTGTTTAAGAAGGTCCCACTTTCAAACAAAGCAACATGATGAGTTTGTAACCTTCACCAATAATATTCAACTAAAACAAAAAATATTGACCTCCAATTAATTTATCAAAAAACTCTTCTACTGGATGGTAGAATTTGTATTTACTTATCTTTTCTTCGATATTCTCAAAATTGTGGTGTGCGTTCCTAAATAATAAAAAAACTTAATAACCATGAAAATGAACTAAAGAATGACATAAGCCACATATTTATAGTTTGAACGTATGTATTTTATCACTAAAGACATGTGGTGTAGTTCCTATTTTGCCTTTATTAAGAATTTGATGAGTCCGTAACAAACTCTACCAACTTGTCGAATGCACTGTCACGATTTGTTGTTCACCTATCAAATATCAATTTGGTTTCTGAATCTCTCTCTCTCTCTTTTCTTTTCTTTTTTTTTTTATTAGTCTACGAGTGACCCTCATGTTTTATTTGACACGCTTTCGTTCTCAAAGTCTAACGGTTTGTCTGAGAACCAACCCAAACTAATAGCATAAGGGCTTCTACCTGTTGCTGCTGTCAAACTCACATGTAGCCATCATTCATCAATCAACTTTATGCCAATTCAGACACAACATTCAGACTATACCCTCTTAGATTAGGTGAGACTTAGATAACTAACTGTTAGAGGAACCATTACATCATTCCTTGCGATTTAAGATTTATATGTTTTATATTACATTATGCGATAGACCAGTCCAAGTTTGTCCATGTTTCCACCACCCTTTAGTGTACAAGATCCTCACAGTAACCAGGGTCCACACACCGCAATTAGCTTGTAATTTTTACGCAATTTCAAAAATCATCTTCTCTATATTTATACATGTAATTAAAACTAATTGTATAATTTTTAATTATGTTTAACAATTTTAAATCAACTTTATCACTCTCAACTATACAACTCATAGAAACTTTATGAGAAATCATGATCTTTTTCAAATAATTTAAGCACTCAAATGTATGTTAAAGTACTTATTTTTTATCCCTTTATATATGAAACAATTAAAATTAACTGACACATTGAGATATCAAGCTTTTATATTTTACACTTTTAATATTTTTTCCATAAAATTCAGAATTAATCAATGTAATGGTTGAATATTTTTCGTCATCTAAAAGATTTCATTGAAATGAAAGAAAAACTAATTTAAGTACAAGGTGAACAAAAGTTAAGCTTAAGAATATATATCTATCAGCAAAAAATAGTGCAAAGTGATAAAATCCACCCTCCATATATATCAAAATAAAATAAATTCCTACCCTCTGAAAATAAACAAGTAAAAATAAAATTTGCACCTACTTTACCTATTTTAAACCATCAAATCACCCCCATGTCAATAATTTGACATTATCTTTCTAATTATAGGTGTATTATATTTATAAATTGGGCATTTGTCTCTACACTAACTAATTATGAACATTTATCCATCAAAATAAAATTATTATAGGATGAAATAGTTTCTTATTTTTATTTTTATGATATTTTATAAATTTATTTAATTTATAAAAAATTGATTCGGATCGTGTTAACTAATTTATATTGTTCGGAAAATTAATAAATTAAGTATTATAAGTGTGAAAGTTTGAGATCTATATACCAATTGATCTTTATCCAGTATGCATGCTATGAACAATATCAATCGATGGAGTCAAACAATAAACAGATCATTAACTACAATCAAATTCTCCTACGCATAGTCAAACATTTGAAAAATGTCCTCTATGAGATTAGTTGAATATGTGGCAGCATATGGTGACCTAATGTTCCTCAAAAATCAAAATGATGTGTACCTGGCACACCGTACGTATCTTTTGAGTATGACAGTGTTGTGCGTGTGATTCTTGGCTGATCTCATTCACTCGTAAAATAAAATTAATTATATCATGTTGGGTGGCCACCTAATTTATCAATTAAGACTTTAGATATATATTTTTCGTGAGTATCTCTAACTAAATTCTTGTTAGATGCACTTTCATCACTTTAGTTAATTACAGTTCTTTTATTTGATTTGCTGCACTCATTGTGGTATAGTATATGGTGTACTTTAATATATCCATCAAAACTAGTACCCTATAACAACTAGACATAGTTTTACCAGACACAAAAAAAGAGGGTGAGGAACATCCAACCTTTCACCAGTTAGAGCTTCACGTACGACCATTAAATTGTTTGATTATTTTATAATGTAAAAATTGATCGAGTTTACCCTAATCATGTAATAATTTTTCAGTGTGTGAATTGTTTTTTTAACAAGTCAAATAAATATTATTAAAATATAGGCAGCTCTAATTCAAAAGAGCTATATGGATTTGCTTTGTGAATGAATGGGAGTTAGAAAATTGTAGTTAAGCCGTCTTATTTATTAACTCAACAAGGATCTCAACATAATTATGCTTCAGAAATTTTTTTCAACTTCAACCTAAAGACTTCTGAAGTAAGCATTGAAGCACTTAATTAACTAGCGGGTGCAACAACTGCTATAGGTTTGAACCGTGTTAAGTTTCCCTATCCATTCTGACCTCAACGAAATTAACCTAATCACCCAACCTCATTCAACTTCCTCTCTTACTCTCTCCCCTTGTTTCTACCTTATAAAAGCACCCTCTTCCATTCCTACTTGCATTGCAACCTTATGTTACACCACATTCACATTCACACTCACACGAAGGTGTTCACTACTCTCCAAGAGATGGAACCTGCCATGACCATTCTCAGCAATCACAAATACTCTTCCATCTTCTTAGCCATTTTCGTTCTCTTAGCTTCGGCATTGTCTTCAGCAAATGCCAAAATTCACGAGCATGAGTTTGTTGTACGTTCTCTTACTCCCTTTCTCTTTCTTTCTGGGGGCCTAATTTTCTTTCTTTTTACTCTTTCTTTAAGATAATAATTGCCTTGCTGGTTGTCATGGAATAGGTTGAAGCTACTCCAGTGAAGAGGCTGTGCAAAACACACAACACCATCACTGTGAATGGGCAATTCCCTGGCCCAACGTTGGAAATCAACAATGGAGACACTTTAGTTGTCAAAGTCACTAACAAAGCTCGTTACAACGTCACAATTCATTGGTATATAATAACAAGCCCCCATTTTCTCTTCACTTTAGAATTCCAAAAGACCCTTTGACTTGATTAATTTTGCTCATTTTCTTTGCCACCACTTATACAAGACACATTATACTCTTTTCAAATATCTTTTTCCCTCGTTATGTTTTCTTTCATATCTATATCAAATCAAAATGCGATGTTATACAGTCCTTTCTATCTTTCTACAATTAAGCATGAAATCTGTAAAATTAAGCAAAGAGTTGAGTGAGATTTTTCTAAGGGTGAATATAATTGAGTGTGGCTTTTATTGTCCATCGTGTCTGCAGGCACGGTGTTAGGCAAATGAGGACAGGATGGGCAGATGGACCAGAATTTGTGACTCAGTGCCCCATTCGTCCTGGAGGAAGTTACAGCTACCGTTTTACTGTTCAAGGACAAGAAGGCACACTTTGGTGGCATGCTCATAGCTCATGGTTAAGAGCCACCGTTTATGGTGCTTTAATCATTCGTCCTAGGGAAGGAGAACGCTACCCTTTCCCCAAGCCAAAGCACGAGACACCCATTCTTCTTGGTAATTAATTTTCCTTTTTTGAATTTACAGTAATTATATCATTGATGAAAACATGGACTAGGAAGATTAAGAACTAGCAAAAAGTGATTGTGATAGGTGGAATTAATTAATATATAGAAGCAAAGAGATTGTGGTGTTTTTTGTTGTGTTGCTTTTGGACAAAGATTGAACGGTGAAAGTGATGATGGTATTCCAGGGGAATGGTGGGACGCAAACCCTATTGATGTTGTGAGGCAGGCCACACGAACTGGTGGAGCTCCGAACGTGTCTGATGCATACACCATCAATGGTCAACCTGGTGATCTTTATAAGTGCTCTGCCAAAGGTTTCATTCCCTTCTTAATTTGATTACATTGAACATCTCACATGTCTTGTTTAATAATTTTACTTTACCAAAGATTTGACGTAATTAAAACAGGAACTAGTCGTGAAAAAGAGAAGCGTTTTAGGACAAAGACGTATGATGTGAAATTATTAAAGTTGTCAATTATTTACTAAACAAGTCAACAGCAGGGTTGTCTTTTGGTACAGCGTCTGCCCTTTACACTTTTTTTGTTCCTTTTTAAAGACAAAGAGTCTTTCCCTAACAAAAAGGAAAGACACGAGATTTTTAAATAAAAATAGTTTTTAACTTGTAGTTTTATTAGCAAAAAATCAGAAGCCAAACTTTTAAAAGATAATGTGATACTTTTTATATCTTTTACATGAAACCTGTCTCTAATGATTTAGTGCAACGCACAAGGTTGCTCGTCAATGACAAGATAGCACAAGCATATGGGAAAAGGCATTTAAAACCATAAAGTTAATCATACTCTTCATTTCTTCAATTTAGATTTGGGTCATTTTGCTTTTTAAAATTTTCTTTCTGACATAACTTTTACGCGTTATTTAACATAAAAACTAGTATCAGTTCTACAAAAATTATAATAAACTTATAAAAACATGTAAATTTAGAATTAAATAATAATATATAAACTCTACAAACATTCAAATCAGCATCTGTTTATTCAATTTTTTTAACTTCACATGGATTCTTAAAAGTTAAATCTTTGAACCTTTTATTTTTTAATCAAAATCTGATACTATCCGTTAAATTGTTTTACCCTTAGATTTCATGAACATGACTTTGTTTTTTCTCTGGCATGAAACATGAAATGCAGACACTACCATTGTCCCAATCCATGCTGGCGAGACGAACCTTCTACGTGTCATCAACGCTGCACTCAATCAACCTCTCTTCTTCACCATCGCAAACCACAAACTCACGGTGGTCGGCGCCGACGCCTCCTACCTCAAACCCTTCACCACCAAAGTCCTCATGCTGGGACCCGGCCAAACCACCGACGTACTCATCACCGCTGACCAGCCACCGTCCCGCTACTACATGGCGGCGCGTGCATACCAATCTGCTCAAAACGCCGCGTTTGACAACACCACCACCACCGCAATACTCGAATACAAATCACCTCACCGTAGCAACCATTCTCACCATCATCATTCCGAAGGTGTGAAGAACAAAACGAAACCTGTAATGCCTCCACTCCCTGCTTACAACGACACAAATACCGTCACTGCTTTCAGCAGAAGCTTCAGAAGCCCCAGAAAAGTTGAAGTCCCCACTGAAATTGACCAAAGCCTTTTCTTCACTGTGGGGTTAGGACTCAACAAGTGCCCCAAAAACTTCAAAGCAAATAGGTGTCAGGTATTGCACTATAAACAAAATCACTTATATATAATAAAAAAATTGTTTTCTTGAAATCTGTAAAATTACCTTTTTTCGTTTAATTTTTTAAGGTGCTCCTAATCTCTTCTTATCTTTAGAAATGATAAGCTTATTTGTATACATAATAATGTATACATGTAACATCTGTTATCTTGAAATTCATATATATCTTATGTACAACTAGAATTAATTTTGAATGAGATTCTTAATACTACTTTCTATGCCAGGGACCCAATGGGACGAGGTTCACTGCGAGCATGAATAACGTGTCTTTCGTTCTCCCCAACAATGTTTCCATCTTGCAGGCTCACTACCTCGGAATCCCGGGAGTGATCACCACTGATTTTCCCGGGAAGCCGCCGGTGAAGTTCGACTACACAGGCAACGTGAGTCGTTCATTGTGGCAACCTGTTCCTGGGACCAAGGCTCACAAGTTGAAGTTCGGGTCGAGGGTTGAGATTGTGTTGCAGGATACTAGCATTGTTACTCCTGAGAACCATCCCATCCATCTTCATGGCTATGATTTCTACATTGTTGCAGAGGGGTTCGGCAACTTCAACCCGAAGAAAGATAGGGCGAAATTCAACCTTGTTGATCCTCCTTTGAGGAACACCGTGGCTGTGCCTGTAAACGGATGGGCAGTTATTCGATTTGTTGCTGATAATCCTGGTAAGTAAATACGAGAAGGTAGTATCAAGAAATAAAAATAAAAATGATTTTTATACTTTCATTGAATGTCATCTATACATAAAGCAACCATTTGATGTTTGTTGGCATAATGTAATTATGTGTGTATTAATTGCAGGTGCGTGGCTTATGCATTGTCACTTGGACGTTCACATAGGGTGGGGATTAGCCACGGTGTTGTTGGTGGACAACGGAGTTGGGAAATTGCAATCCATAGAGCCTCCTCCAGTGGATTTACCTCTTTGTTAGGATCATTCCAAAATAATCATCAACTAAAGAATCGAGTGATTATACCAATTTTTCTTAGTTTGAAAGTTGGTTGATGTTTCCCTGCATTTGGGGAGGGTTTTTTGTTTTCTTTTCATTGCTTTAAATGTACGTTCTTTTTTATATAGAGATAAAATTGGGTTTGGAACTTAGGAAGAGATGATGATGCGGTTTCAACGCAAATATACCATCTGCATTGTCGTAAGCCCAACTAGTTACATTGATATTATTTTCCCCCCATAGTTCATGTTACAAGCAGATTTCAAGTTTCGAATATAATATAAGACCTGGGTTCCTTTTGTTACAAGTCTTGGCCTTTTGCCTGGATCGAAAATACTTATTTGAAAATGCTATACTGATTAAGCTCCAAAGTCCACTAACCATTTGCCACTATAAACTGATACAAAATTCTCACATTAACTATCACGAGGATGGATATCATAGTATATCATCATTCATTAAAATCTCTCATTAAATGTCAACATATATTATGGGATACAAATATAACAAACTAATAGACATATTAGTTTTCCTCAAAATAGAAATCATTTATGATATATATATATATTTCTGGAGGAACTAATTTATACACCTTTGGACAGGAATAGAAAAAAAGGGAAAGATAGAGATCCAAAATCCTTGAATGGGATAAAATAATATTTATCTCAACCAAGAGAGAAAATTGTAGGAACAAATCAAGTACCAGCGACAAAAAAAACAAAAAAGTCCTAAAAGCTTAAAGGGAGACGTGACCATGGCGTAGCTTTTCTAGTTGTTTTACCCTCCTCTCACCACATTGCATCACCAAGACAGGAGCTTTTCCATGACAAAACTCACTGGATGCCAACATATCCCCCACAATTCCCAACTGATCCGAATTGTCCATGAAAGTTGACATTTCTTCTTCCCTAAAATCCCCCATGCTATGTCGCTTCCCCACCATCACAAGGTCATAGTCGCTCTCCATTCCCCGAATAGCTTCCAACACTTGTATGCAATCTTCAACCACAACCGGATGGTAAACAACTTTAATCACATCACTGCTATAATCATTCTTGGCAGTAAACTCATCTATTAAACTCTCGTCCAACGTTCTCTCTAACGTATCCTCTTCATTTCCCACAAATCCATATATCCCAAACCTGGAATCTCCTTTGGTTGGAAAAACAAACCGGAACAAGGTCACTCGCGTGTTGGCGCGTTCCAACATTCGAATTCCCAACGCCAATGCTTCTCTATCGTCTTTTCCGCCGATGAAGAAGACACCCACATGAAAAGACAAGTTGGAGCTACTCCCACTCAGCACGGAGAATCTATCCACAAGAATCCCCAACGTGCCCCATGAGTTAGCAACAAAATTTGCGTTGAGCTCGCGCATGCTGATGGCCACGTGGCTTGCAAGACTCTGATCATTTAGGTGAAACGGAATAAGGAGGAGATGCACAGAGTTATCTTCCGCGAGGTTACAAACTGCTTCGTGCATGTTTCTGTATGGGGCAACGTTGATGTATGGACGAACATTTACAGGACCACTTGAGTTGTTGGTGTAGTTCTCATAGGCACGCAAGATGTGGGTGGTGTTTGGGTAGTTGACGGAAAAAGTTTTTCTGTTGCTCCTGGTCATGGGAAGAAGAAAGGGTGTGCTTTTGCCGAAGAGCTCAATGAGATGGACCGCGTAGACCTTGATGGGGCTTTCCGTGGTTGGGTTGCATGCCTCTATTAGGGCAATCATGCTGCGCACATGCTGATCCGTGTGCACGCACGGAACGATGTTGAATTCTGTGTTTCCGTTGAAGTTTTGAATTGTTCTCACACGCCCTTCTTGTATGCTCGGCGTTATGCACACGCGACGGTGCCTGTACAGGGTTTTGATCAAGGGTATGCAAAGTGATGTGATCATCACCACATACATCACCGCTACAGAGTATACTTCTGTATCAATTACCTGCAAAAGTGAACGTCATAACATGCATTACATTTCTTGTTAAATGAACGTCATAACATTCATTACGTCATTAAATAGAAGGAAATGATAAGAGAAAACATATTACCCCGAGTTTGTTCATTCTACTGTAAAAAATGAGTTCCACTATACCCTTGACGTTCAAAATGAGGCCAAGCACGACGCCATGTTTGGGCTTAATTTTATACGTGGGAGAAATAATGGCACATGCGATCACCTTGACCACGCATCCCAGAAATAAGATAGCCTGAACTGTGAGAGCCACCTTCCAATGGCCATGAATTCCAGTCAACTTTGTTCTTTTGCCAACAAATAAGAAGAAGAAAGGCATAAAAAACTCAGAGACTATCAATTCACTCCTCTCTATAATTGTTGTAGCCACGGGGGGTCCATTGGGAAGAACAAAACCATAGAGGAGAGGTCCCATAACGAAGAATATCCCAAAGCTGTCGCTAATAGCTGCCATAACAAGTGGCCCCAGAAGTATCAACACAGCGTATGCTTCTTTCATTGGTTTCCCCGGTAGTGTTCTCTCAACAACAATGTTCACCAGTGGCTTCACAATAAGAAGACACAACACACCGAATCCGCATGCACCCGTCAAGAAGACAAGAAAAAAGTCTATGCTCAAGTTTGTGTTGAACTGGAGTTCCATCGTAATCCATTGCAATAACTCGCTGATCATGGCTGAAGACAAAGCGATTTGGCCCAGTTCCGTGGCCATGAGGTTGAGTTCCAACAGGCTTTCTGATATAACAGCGAAACTACTTAGGGTGAAGACGTTGGGGAAGTTGTATAAAGACAATTGTTTTCTGTGTATATCAGCGCCATTGGGCGAATACGAAGACAACAAGGTCGCTGTGACGAAGAAAGAAGCGAAGAAGGGAAACACGCCGAATTGCCAACATCTTTTTGCTGCTTTTAATGTTGTCGTTACGTCCATTTTCAGAGTTGTGAGAAACACACAATAAATAGTGCCTATTTTGGCCAACGTATTCAAAACCAAAGATTGTTTTTGCGGAAACATAGCCCCCAGCATCAATTCGTTAATGTTCCCTAAGCATGTTGGCCCCAGCAGAACTCCAGCCTGAAAATTTTGTATTTCTTGTGTCAATATCTCTATTACACAACCGCCCATCCATGCACGTATGCATGTATAATACAAGTTGCATATGCAATATATTTAGAACATATTGTAATAATTTATTCATAAAGAAAGGAGGAACGAGTTAAAGTAAACTTTTTAGACAAGCTAAATCATTCACTCGTCCACAAACCATTTTCAATTTATGAGTGTTTTAGGGAAAAACCTATATAATTTAAGAAACAAGAAATGATCCTGCGTATAACGTTTTCCTATGTATAAATGTGAACATTGACCAACAGTAGTAATCAAAATTTAGTAAACAAAAGTATGAGAAAAGGGGAAGAGAGGAAAAACTTACGATGATAGAGCAGATGAACTTGGGAGTATGTATTGGCCTGAGGATATAATGCAACCCTTTTGAGAGTAAAACGAGTAATATGACTTGGCACAACGTGATAGGCATCACAAAGTCGAATGGATTATCCCCAACCCACACGCCCAAGGAGCCTACAGCAGTTCTATCATTCTTGAGACAAACCACCAAACGACCAGTTCTAGTGTCATTAAACACAGCGGCTATGGAACTGTCCTTCATTATATGTCACGCTTCTACCAACCAATTAATTATAGTTGAGAACAAAACCAAAGCCTTTTTTCCCTCCTGTGTTCGTGTTTGCATCAAACGCAAACACAAACACGTGAGGGCACAGAGTAGAGAGGAGAAAAACATGTATATGAATTTTATAAATGTTTTCTAATAAGATTGGCAGATAAAACATTTATATTTAGACTATGGGTTGGAGAGTTTTGGAAAATATGAGCTGCGCATGTGGTGTTCGTTATAACAACTGGGTCAAAAATGTATTATGCATGGCAATAACAATTTTTTTTTTCTTGACCATTTTAGTCAAACTACGTATAACTATGAATTGGAGTTTCAACAAATTTAGGCGTGGAAAGAAGATTGTGCTGTCACTGAGCTAAGGCCAGTGTGTAAAAAAACCCAAGAAAAGTGAATTTCAGTTTGGTTTGGCAAGGTATAATTTTAGACAACTCTCCACAAATATCGCAGAACAAAATGGTTGTGTTTGCACAAATGATTCAACGACAGGTGTAGTCAACGGAAAAAACTGGTTACAACCTAACTTCGCATGAGGAATTGTGGTTGTGAGGATCCATATGAAATCAAGCCACACAGCAAACAGGTAATAGATAAAGGTCCTGATGTATTAACTTACACCATACCATGTATTAAATATAACAAAATATATAAACTAAAATATGAAAATATATACAAGCATTTAAGATTTTTTATGTCTTGTATTGTAATCTCTCTCTCAAAAAAAATGTTTAATTGATGTTGTGATTTATAAATATCTAATTATATTATTTAACGTAAATTGAAAATAAAACTATGCTTATTTTTAAATACTTATATGGAAATGAAGGAAATAATATTTTATTGATTTTACTACGTTTTTATTATATCGTTGAGAATTAGAATAAAATATGAAGGCAACTGTATGTTACTACTATTTAAAATAGAAAATGGAAATTAACATATTTTATACACTCAAAAAGTCTTCAACGATTTAGCGTGGAGATCATTAGAAATAGCTGTTTTGTGATTTAACTATATCTATTTCAAATAACATTACAACTTGTTATTTAAATTTATCAGATTGTTATGCGTTTGATAAATGCAATCAGAAAAGTATCCAACAATCTTTATTATTAGTTGAAATTTATTAAAAATCACATAATTATGGGTCAACTTATTATTTAATAAATATAATTATTTTGAGGTTTTAATAAATTTTAGTTAATGATAAAAATATATATTAGAGATATTTGGGATGCTACCACTCCTTATATATCTATGAAAGTGACTTTTAGCTTGTCCATAACTCTCTAGAATAACTAATAAAAACTATTAACAACTAATGTAAAAGCTTATTCTTTCATTATATATGGATACAACCTATACATAGGTACTTATGTGATAAATACTTATTTAACGAGTTCTTAATTTATTTATTAACTCAAACTAGCTCTAATATAATATTAAGCTGAAGTCTTGAAAGGTAATTAGGTTATAACTCCAACGTAAGGGCCGGTTATAGATAAATTTCAAAAGAAAGAGTCCGTAAGTTCTTTTGTCGTTTACATGTCACGATATATTAATCGCAGTGATTGTGCGGACAAAAATATATATTAATTATTTTCAATGGGTTTGACCCAATAAAGTAGATTGAAAATTATGAAAATAAGTTAATCAAGTTAGATTAAAGAATTGCGATAATTAAATTAGGTAATTTTTACTGAATGTTCAACCCACAACTTAAATGTGTTAAATCGGTTTATTTTATAAAATATGATTATATTTTATTAAAATGTGTACATATATTTAAAATTAAAATGAAATTTATTAGAAGAATTTAAAATATTAAATGAAGATAGAGTTAGTGGTAAGATCGGTCCTTGCTAAAAATTCATATCCTATAATATAAACAAACACTGGTTCTACCGAATAAGAAAGAAAAAAGGAGATACATATTTACATTTTGCACAAAAACTGGCTTACCTAAAATGATGTATGCAGATATAAGAAGAAAAAAAAGTGTTATTTATTAGCAACAGAACAAGTTCGTTGAGAGACATTAAATGAGCCAGTACCACCGTCGAGCTTACCACTACGGTTTACCCCACCACACTGTGTCACCAAAACAGGAATCATCCCAACGCAAAACTCGTTGGAGGAGAGTAAATCACCCAAAATTCCCAATATCGCAGCATTCTCGATGAATGTTCCCATTTCCTCCCCGTTCAAAGACCCATCGTTGTGCCTTCTTCCCACCATCACAAGGTCATAGTTTCCCTCCAAACTATGCACTGCGTCCAACACTGCCACCCCATCCTCCACCATAATCTCGAACCAAGAAACGCTACCCATCCCATATTTCATGCTCTTGAACTCATCAATTAACCCCTCGTCCAACATCAAATCCTCGTCTTCCTCTTCACGTTCATCTTTCGTCAAAACAATTTTTCTACCGTAATCTTTCTTGTTCACCACGAACCGGAACAACGACACCCTCGTATTCTCACGCTCCGACATCCGAATCCCCAAGGCCAGCGCTTCCCTGTCGTCTGGCCCACCTATGAAGAATATCCCCACGTTGAAAAACACGTTGGTTTTGGACACGCCCAGCTGCGAGTGCTTGTCCACGAGAATCCCCAACGTGCATGGAACATGCGTTTGAAACCTCGCGTTCATTTTGCGGATGGAGGCTTCCGTGTGGTCCACAACTTGCATTTTGTCGTTTTCGTGAAAGGGGATGATAATGAAAGGCACCATCTTGTCTTGCGCGAGGTTGCAAATGGCATCGTCCATGCTTTTGTAGGGTGCCACGTTGACGTAGGGGAGAACCGTGACTGGCCCACTTGAGTTGCTGGCGTAGTTTTCGAAGGCTCGCATGATGTGGTTGGTGTGGGGGTAATTAACGGACAAAGATTTGTTGTTTACTCTATAGTTTATGGGAATGAGAACGGGTGTGCTTTTTCCTAAGAGCTCGATGAGATGTATGGCGTAGACGCATATGGGGCTCTCTATCATGGGGTTGCTCGCCTCTAACAAGGCAGTGACGCCACGCACGTTTAGTTCGTTGTGTAGGCAACAAATCATGCGAAACTCTGTGTTTCTTGGTACGTTTTGAATGGTTCTGATATGGCCTTCGTATAACGATGCTGACTGTAGGACTCGAGGGCGATGCTTGTACAGTGAGTTGATCAATGGTGTGCAAACGGAGGAGATGATCATCACACAGAACACCAGTTGACTGAATGTATCATCATCCATCATCTACAAAAGGTAATAAAAACAGAAATTCCATTTGATTTATCGTACATGTAATGTAAGGTCTTGAAGAAAATTTAGCACCTTCGTAAACAAATGTAGCTCAGGCATAAGATTCTGATAAAAACATAGTTAATTTTAGTTTATGCAAAATTAACTTTGTTTTTCTTAAGTGTTTGTGTACAAGTCCCTTAGACACATGTGAAATATATCTATATCTATACATGTACCTCGAGTTTCTTGAGTCTAGCGAAACCTATGATTTGAGTTATACCCTTGATGTTCATGGTGAGGCCAAGCAACGTGCCATATCTAGGCCTAATGTTGTACGTTAGAGAAATCAAAATACACGCGACCAACTTGGTCATGTCTCCCAGTAAGAACACACCTTGCAGAGTCACAAACAACCGCCAATCCCTGAGCGCAGCCAAATCCGTTCTCATTCCCACGTACACGAAGAAGAACGGTAGCAGAAACTGGTTGATCAAAAACTCACTCTTCTCCACTAGCGTTGTGCCCAAGGGCGGTCCACTCGGTATGACCAACCCCAAAACCAGCGGTCCCATCAGAAACGTTACTCCCATGATGTCTCCCAGACCCGCCATCACCATAACCATGAGAAGAATGAGCACGACGTAGACCTCCTTCACCGGTTGCCCCACTGGGGTTGTCCTTACAATGACCCTCATGGTGGGTCGCAGGACGAAATGCGCCAAAGAAATGAAGAGGAGCCAGTTTACCAGCAGGGACAGAGAAACTCTGAGGTTACTTTCAGAGGCGAAGCTGTGGACGACGATCATAAGCCATTGTATGTTGTCGTTGATCATGGAGGAAGAGAGAGCAATCTGGCCTAGCTCGGTGGCTAGGAGGTTGAGTTCGACCATTGCTTCAGAGACGACGGGGAAGTTGCTGAGGGCCATTACACAGCCTATTGACATGCGTGAAAGGGTTAAGTATGCAGGTCGGACATTTTTGGGGGTATAGAAGATGCTTAAGAGTACCACCATGACTATAAATGAAGAGAGGAAGGGCATTACTCCGAGCCGCCACGTGCTTTTCGCGGCTCTAATAGTCATCAGTACGTCCATTTTCAGTGCCACTAAGAACAGATAATATATGGCTCCTATTATCCCTATCAACAGTAAGTACTCTGCTTGTCTTGGTGGGAACAGAGCCTCCCAATACGTCTTGTTCCGCCCCATAACTGTTGGCCCCAAAATTATCCCACCCTGCACATTTACACTATACATAACTTTAACACACACCACTCTGAAGCATTCAAATCACACTTATACTCGTCATTCTCATGCATCTCTCCCTCTCTTCATCTATCTATATATTTATACATGTGTACTCAAATTGTAAATCATGAATAAAGTTGGTCATTTTTGGATAAATAAATTATGCCAAATCCTTCAAAAGTGAGGCTCAAATAAACATAAATTTTAATCTTATCATTCATTTGGAAGGGAATCTGGCGAAGCTTACCAGAAGGTTGCAGATGAATCTGGATGCTTTCAGAGGTCTCAGAACAAAGTGAAGCAGTCTAGAGATTATGGTGAGGATGAAGAGTTGGCACAACGTTACAGGAAGTACGAAGTCGAATGGACGATCCCCAATGAAAATGCCATAAGACCCCACAGTTCTATCGTTTTGGACACAAACTTGCCACTGCCCATTGGAATCCACATAACTACCTATTGTTCCATTGCCTCGAATTGGACCCTCCATTGTATAATTATCCAACTATTCAATTAGCATTTCCTAATTCATGTGTTCGTGGAGGCAACACAAACACCTACGCACAGAGGGCAGAAAATGAACCAGGTTATTTAATATGTATGTCAAGAACAATTTCCGAAGCAGAGAAAAAACTAATGCAGATGGGATACGAAAATGGAAATGTCTTAAAATCTAGGTTGAGAATTGAAATTGGAAATCAACTACACATTTGTGCAGACTAGGGTATAATAATAGCTTTGCATGTTGATATTTTTGTCAAACTATGATTAATCGTTGGCATATGCATGGCCAAACTAAACTAACATTATAACCACTCATGTTGCTTTTAAAAAATTACTATTTTGGCAAAATATAATATCTATATATGGATTGAGATTTTCCACTTACCTTCCACTAAAATTAATTTCCTACTAAGTCAACAGTTATGTTGAATATAACCAATTAAAGGATGTCCTAACAATCAAAGGTCAAACCAAGTCAAATTTTACATTTTTTAATTATTTTAAAATTTATTCATCAATGCATGAATTTCTGTAATGCAATTTCAGACTAAGTACAACCTTTCCTCTGGAAAATGTTTTTACCATCAACACCAAATTGCATTAAATCTCTCTCTCTCTCTCTCTCTCTCTCTCTCTCTCTCTCTCTCTCTCTATATATATATATATATATATATATATATATATATATTTCACATTCCCAAAAACAAAACAGATTTTTGTTTTAACAAGCAAAAAGTAAACACTATTTATGATATTATATTGACATTATTAAATTTGATGTTTCTATTTTTTTTTTTCATCCTATAATTTTTTTCAAAAATCATTTCTGACATTTTCAAAGGTTTTCTCTCAACTTTTTTTTTTTTTTAATTATGCGTTGATGTTATTGTATGTACTATCTGTATAATAATATATCAATATTAGTATTATTTCAACAGATATCAAAAACACATAAAAAAAACAGATAATTTTATGTTAAAATTTTATGATTAAATTTATGCTTTAAATATATCTTTACTCTCACTAGACAGATTTTTAGTTTTGAAATAAAAGATTTATTTTTTATAATGTAAAATTTAAATTTATTACTTTAAGTTGTTCTAAAATAATAATTTAAGATGGATATCTAACTTTTTTTATGAAACTTAATATTATAAAAATTATGAACAATATTGTATAACTTTAAATAATAGTGATTTTTTTTTTAAATTGATCATCAATTATATCTTCTTTTATTAAAAAATTATCATATAAATATTATTTAATTATAATTTTTTTTATTTTTAAGTTATTGAAATAACTAAACTGTCACATTTACATCTCTAACTGATTTTATAATTAAGTTAATAAATATAAAATTATAATAATTATATAACCACAAATAATTTATTATTTTCATATATTTTATTGTCATTAAATTCAACATAATATAAATTTGAATAAGAATCAATGTTTATATCATCAATTAGTTAAAATCAAAATTGTAATAAGTTAAGATTTCTTTTTGTTTTTAAGTTCATTTACCTAAAATAAATCTCTCAAGATTTTTTTAATTTGTAATTTGAGTTTAAACTTACTTTTGAATCAAAATATATGTTAGTGTTATTAATTAATTTGAAGTATTATATATATATATATATATATATATATATATATAATTTATTATCAATTAATATTTTAAAATCAATTTATTACCAGAATTAAAACCAACTATTCATATTAATTATTATATTTATATATTTTATAAATTAAAAAATAATAATGCAGCTAATATTATTGATTTAGAGACTAATAGGCAAAAAATGAAGGACTTATTGACTAACATATTAATTAACACATATTTAAAGAGCTAATATCTTAATTTTTAACATTTTAGTGACAAGTAAGATTAGTATATTTTCAGCATTAATAATTTGATTGTATGTTATTAATTTTATTTTTTTTTGGTGGGATTATCTGATTTTGCACTTTAATTGCAATGAAAATTATGCATAATCTCTTAAGTGAATATGGACATTTAGGATTTTTCAAATCTTAACTGTTGTTAACCATTTACTTTGCTGTCTATTACAATTACATTTTATGTTTTCAGCTCTCTTTTCTATGGGAGAGCATTATCAGTTGCACCTTTAGTTTTAAGAGTACCTCTCAAGAGCTTATTTCAGGTAATTAACTCTAGTTCAGTGGATGGAACATGTTTATAAGAGTTTTTGTGTAATAATCTGGTATGGTAGATCATCAACTATTCATTTGAAGTTTTTAAATTCATGAGTACTTTTTTCACACGTAGAAACATACTAATGGATTTTGAATTCCCCATAAAAGACTAATTTTTTAATAACAGTAGTTTTTCTTCTTCTTATCAATGCTATTCCATGTACACGTTACCACAATTTTAATTTTTTAAAATCAGAATTAATGTGTTTCCTTTCAGTTAAATTATACATTTATTTGATGACAGTGAAGGTTTTTACTTTTGTTTTTTGACACACAGTGAATGTATTGACACCATGTTTTCAGAATTTACAGAAACATGCTAGGATGAGTAAACATTTGAATTATTCCATTAGATCATCTGAAATTTTGTTTCATCTAATTGAGAATGATATTACAATGTAACTTTCAAAAGTATTCATGATTTATATTCATCCACCTATGTCAAAAGTTAGACGGTTTATGGTACAAATTTAATTAAGTCTTGATCTTGAATGGAAGTTTGAGTGTTCCACTTCTTCCTGGAATTGCCTGGAATTCTGCAGTTACAAACAATAAAATAGGATGATGCAGAAAAGAAGACATTTACGGCAATCAAAGCATCCATTCCATGATTACCGTGAGTATTTCCTTTTAGTTTTGTTAATCCATTATAATCTCGCATGAAAGATCTGATTTTATGATAATGGATAAACTGTAAATGCCCTGATCCAAGTGAAGAAAACATCTTTTTTAACAGGATATTTTATTATTTTTCTCTCCTGTTATTTCCACCATATTAACCCCACAAAAATGTTGTTTTTAACAGCTTTTGAGGCATTTTTGTCTGGTTCATGGAAAGCTGTGGAGCTCATAAAGATTGAGTCAGGAACTGCAAGTCTGCTTTCGATAGATAATCACTACATGGAGAAAGACCTTTTTTCTGATATTCGAATAAGGTCAAGGAAAGCCACTTTATCAGATTGCATCAACTTTTTACGACCTGGGATTGACATATGTGTTCTCTCATCCTCTAAGAGTGGTGATTCTAATTCAGATGGATTTAGTGCTAAGCATGTAAGTTAAGGTCTTTTAGTTGTAGTTCTGTGTTAAATTGAATTTTTTAGTCTTACTCTTCATCAGTCTTTTAAGTTCAGATTCTTCAACTGTTTGAACATATTCTTGAAGATATATTTTTGTTACGATGCATGCATAGAACTAATCTATCTATTTATGTGGTAGAATTAGTTCATATTCTTCCTTTATATTATTGATTGCTTGATACATAATATAATTGAGATAACATACTTTATTTTCAAGTACTCCCTGCAGGAGATCATGTATGAAATGATAGCCAAATAAACTACGAGAAAAGTGAGAAATATTTTTTTTGATACACCTTTTCTAATACATTTTTATTATTGATTGAAAGAATAATGTTTTAGATCTCACTTGTTATTTCACCGGTTTCCCTCCAATTTGGTTGATGGTGCTTGTATGCAGTTGTTAGGGGATGATTATAGCACTTCTAGAACTGAGTTAGTTCACTCCTTTAATCTAAGAATTACACTGTAGTTTCAATGACATTAAGAATCTAATGAAGTTTCTCTTCCTCTTTTTAATGGTAGGTGTGGGTGGACGCAAAAATAAATTCTATACAGAGAAAACCCCACAATTCAGAGTGTTCATGTCAGTACCATGTAAACTTCTATGTTAATCAAGGATCACTTGGTACAGAGATAAAAACTCTTCTTAAGGAGGTTAAGATAATTGGAATAAATGAAATCGCCATCCTCCAAAAGCTTGAACGTACTAGTTGTGAAGACCAACACTATAGATGGGAATCATCCGAAGATTGCTCCAGATTACCACATTCTAAATTGATGTTAGGAAAATTTTTATCTGATCTTTCATGGTTAGTTGTTACATCTGTTTTAAAGAAGGTTTCATTTTGTGCAAGATCTGTGAAAAATAAGATTGTGTATCAAATTTTAGGGACTGGTGTCGCCAACTCTTCATTAAACATGCATTCTTCTATAAGTGTTGTGAACTTTGAAGTGAACCGCGATGGCCAGTTTAAGCCCATTGTAGCTCAAGTTGATGTATCTGATACTGATACCAATATAAGTGGTCATGCATATGATTCCCATTACGATGAAGGGTCACTATCTCATGTTCTGGGCTTACGAAGATCCAACCGTAGGAACATTCAACCTGAACGTTACTTTGTTTCTGGTAACCTTTCCGAGATAAAGGTTGGTAATATTCGAACCTGGCCATACAAGATCAAGAAAAGGAAAGAGGATGATGACGTGAGTTCTTGCCAGCATATTATAGTGTACCATAGGAAGAACGGAAAGAAGGAATTAAAGTCTGCTAAGTCTGCTGAGACCAATCAAAATGAACATCAAACTCAACTTGATAGCTATCCTCGTCTAGAAGAGAGAGATTCTTTAGCCCTTGAACATCCTCTTCTCAATGACAAAATTACTAGAAGTAATGCAAATCACAGCAACCCTGATCATAAGAGGAAGAGATTGTTAGATCTGGATGACGATGAAGGTTCTGATCCTGAGGGGAAAGAATTAAATTTCAACGTAAGTTCCAATAAAGGAAATGATAGAAGCTTAAATGCAACGGCCTACAAGGAAATGATAGATTCATACTTAAAGGATATTAATAGAACTCCAATGGAAGAAGAACCAACTGTAATGAACCTGTGGAAGAAAATAAGCAACTTGGAGCAGAAGAAGAAAGCAGAAATACCTCAAAGAGAAGAAGAGAAACAAATCTCTGAGATGGATATCCTGTGGAGAGAAATGGAAATGGCGTTGACATCATGTCATATTGAAGAAGTAATGTGTAACAATTAATTCCCTTTTCTATATTGCATTTATTTTACCGAAGAAAACTTAAATGCAGTTTCTAAGTAGTATTATTCATGTTGTTGTATAATCAGAGCTGGAATTCACCTACCAATTAGTGTAATAAAAATATGCACTTATATTCTGGTTTTTCTATCTTCTATTCTAAGGTTGATTTTATCTATGACATCAGGGTTCAAATGGTGCCAATTTTGCTGAGGTTTCGGAAGAATCTGATCACACTTGTCAACATGATTACAGATTGTACGAAGAAATTGGAGTTTACTGCTTCAAATGTGGCTTTGTGAAAACCGAGATAAAGTATGTCACGCCACCCTTTGTAAGTTCAGAACAAAACTTGAAATGTGTGGTTTGATTTCTTTAATATGTTTTCAAAAGCCTATACAAATATAACAATTTGTTCTAAATCATTGGTTCATGTTGACAGAAATTGCATAACGGAGGGAGACACCAAGAGAAGAAGCAATGCAATGGAAACGAGATTGATAATGGTTATTTTCCTCAATTATCAACTCGAGTTTCTCATGATCAACTTATTTCTATGGAACAGGACAACGTTTGGAAGTTAATTCCTGAGCTTAGAGAAAAGATGCATGTCCACCAAAAGAAAGCTTTCCAATTTCTGTGGCAAAATATTGGAGGGTCTATGGATCCAAGACTAATGGATGCAGAATCCAAAAGAAGAGGGGGTTGTGTCATATCTCATTCACCTGGATCTGGTAAAACTTTTCTTATCATTGCATTTCTCATTAGCTATTTAAAGTTGTTCCCAGGGATGAAGCCTCTTGTCCTTGCTCCAACAACCACGCTTCACTCTTGGCACAAAGAATTCATCAAATGGGATATTTCTATGCCCGTGTATGTGATTCATGGAGGTAGTGGACCTCAGACAGATGACATGCAAAATTCAGTATCTCTTCCTTGTTTTCCAAATCCAAGCAAAGATGTCAAACATATTTTGAACTGCTTGGACAAGATAAAAAAGTGGCAAACACACCCAAGTGTTCTGGTCATGAGTTATACCTCATTCTTAGCATTAATGAGAGAGGGTTCAGAGTTTGCACACAGGAAGTATTTGGCTAAAGCATTGAGGGAAAGACCTGGGATCCTGATACTTGATGAAGGGCACAATCCTAGAAGTACCAAATCAAGGTTGAGGAAAGTGTTGATGAAAGTAGAAACAGATATAAGAATACTACTTTCTGGTACATTATTCCAGAACAACTTTTGCGAATACTTTAACACACTTTGCTTGGCAAGACCAAAGTTTATATACGAAGTGCTGGATGAGTTAGATTCGGATGTCAAAAGGAGAAGCAAAACGCCAGAGAAGGCACGTCATCTGTTAGAGTCTCAAGCAAGAACTTTGTTCATAGACAACATTGCTAAGAAAATTGACTCAAATAATGGAAATGAAAGGATGCAAGGCCTAAACATGTTGAGAGGAATCACAAATGGTTTCATAGATATTTATGAGGGTGCAAATTTTGACAGTGTTCCTGGCTTGCAAATGTACACGTTGCTCATGAATACAGCGGACATGCAGAGTGAAATTTTGCTGAAACTGCATAGGAAACTGGCTGAGTGCACAGGGTACCCTCTAGAGTTGGAGCTTTTGATAACCCTTGGATCAATACATCCATGGTTGGTTAAAACAGCCTCATGTGCAAACAAGTTCATCGCTTTAGACCAACTGCAACAGCTAGATAAATGCAAGTTTGATTTGAAAGGAGGGTCAAAAGTTAAATTTGTTATGGCCCTTGTTCTCCGTGTTAAAGAGAAGGAGAAAGTACTTATATTTTGTCACAATCATGCACCTGTGAATTTATTGGTAGAGTTATTTGAGATGGTCTTTCAATGGAAAAAAGATAGAGAAATCTTGTTGCTTAATGGGAAACAAGACCTCTTTGAACGTGGAAAAGTGATAGATAAGTTTGAAGACCCTAGAGGAGCATCAAAGGTACTTCTTGCTTCAATTACAGCTTGTGCTGAAGGCATTAGTTTGACATCAGCGTCAAGAGTGATTTTTCTGGACTCAGAGTGGAATCCATCAAAGACAAAACAGGCTATTGCAAGGGCCTTTCGTCCTGGTCAGCAAAAGATGGTTTATGTGTATCAGCTCTTGGCAACAGGCACGTTAGAAGAAGATAAGTACAGAAGAACAACTTGGAAAGAGTCGGTTTCTAGCATGATTTTTACTGAGGCCTTTGAGGAGAACACTTCACATTCAAAAGCAGAGATGATTGAAGATGATATACTGAGGGAGATGGTGGAGGAGGACAAGTCCAAATCAATTCATATGATACTCAAGAATGAAAAGGCTTCCACAAACTGAACAAAGGTAAATATACTTTTTCTCAATGTATATGTCTAGTTAATTTATTTCTTTGCATGTACTTTTTATTAATCACTTTTAGAAATGCAAACTTCGATAAACAATTACGTGCAACTATTTTTTAATAATAATAATAATTATTATTATTATATATAATGTATTGAACCAAATAACTTTTATCAATTAAAGTTTATAATAAAGTTTATAATTTATTTAATAATTATTTTTCTTTAATTTGTAACTTTTGACATATTTAATTAATAAAAAAAAGTGTAAAGGATAGACATTAACAGATAAATTATTTTAAAAATAAATATTTTAAGTTAATTTTAAAATGTATAAAATTAAATTAAGAATTCGTATTACTGATCTTATCATACTTTCTAAAGTAAATATTTATATAATATGTTAATATTTATGTAACATATAAATAAAATTAAATAGTTTATCTTCTCTTATGAATTTATTGTTATGCAAATAGAACTGAAAATTCATGTGGGTTTCAATACTGTGTATTACAGGGCCTTGGGTGCGAAGTTAAGAGCTGAAGGCAAAATCTGCTTGTGGAAAACTCAACGTGTGGGTTTTTTTTTTTTTAAATAAAAATATTTTCAGCCTATTTTCAATTCATTTTTATTTTATTGGAACAATTTCATTCACAGTTTGAATTTTATTTTCTCTTTATAAATTTCAATATTTTTTTTTGGAATAAGAATATTGTTTAGAGTTATTCTTTAATTTGAATATTGTCAGGATTTTTTTATTTATAATATTTGATCTTTCTCCAAAATTTTATACTTACTTTTAAAGTATATATAAACATTTTAGTAATACATTATCAACAGTTAAACACAATATTATATTTCAATGTAATTTTTTATCATAATTTTAAAATAAAATATATATATTCTTTAAAATATGTATTTAAATGTAAATATATATATATATATATATATATTTTAATTATGACTATTATTTTAGTTCTTATAATTTTTATTCTATGAAATCCTTGATATGATTTTAGTGGTACGTTTATTTTAGTTCTATTAGTAATTTATTTATTTTTTTAGATATCATTAATTATAGTTAATTAAGTGTGAATATAACTGATAAATAAAGAATATTTATTAATATATATATATATATATATATATATATATTAACTAAAAAAATATTTTAAATTGCAAAGACTAGATTATTTTTAGGTATGAAATTTGATTAAATAATATATTTATATTTTATCATTATTATTATATAAACAAGATGATAATATGTAGTTTATTTTTTATTTTTAATATTTTATTTTTAAAGTATAATTTACTAATGTAATTATAATTTAATTTAAATATATTACTTTTACCGTATTTTTATAATCTAATTCATTCATTTTAACTATTAATAGTACAGTTTATCTTTCAACGTATCAAAATAATTATTTTTGTGTCAAAATACAAATATTATACTTTTCTATTTAGAAATAACAATATTTCAATTTCAAAATCACTATCTCACACAAAATAAAAGAAACACAAAATAGAGAAAAAAAACTTGTGAAAATAAAAAATTCACAACAAAATTCTCATAATTTAAGTATTATTCTTTTTTATATATTTTTTTTATCTAAATTAATAATATTCTAGATTACATTAAACAATTTTTTTTATAAGTTGTATGAACCAAACAAGCATGTCAAGTTGGAGAATTGGTTAGCCATTCATACATAGTAAGATATATAGTATTACTTACTATTATATGTTTTTCCTTTCTAATTGATACAATACTGTATCTGGTATTACTTCAATGTTTTTCACTATTTTATATTCTTATACTTCATTGTATTGTCTCGGATGATAAATTACTGAGTCAGAGAATATTTTATATACTATTATAAATGAGATTCCTTCCAATTTCATCATACTTTTGTCAGTCTTAGGTTCATTTTGTATAAAGTTAATAATGTAATTCAAATTTATTTTTACACATGATATTTTATAAAGTTAAAGACTAATGTAAATTGGTTTATTTCATTTATAAATCATAAAAGTAAAGCATGTTAAATATACACAGGTAAGAGTGTAACATATGGTTCTAAACTACCTCGGATAAATGTTTGTCAAATTTTCTAGAAAATAATTCGTCAAAATATTTAAATTAGTGAATTCTAGTCAAAAGAATCCTTTTAGTTTGATTAAAAAAACATAAATTAATTTCTTTCAAAACTTGCTATCCAATCTTGTTTTGAACGAGTATAAAATATACTATAGTTAGTTCCAGTCTCAAAACTTGAATATATATCAAGTTCTATTAATTAAAAAAATCACACAAGTGATAATAATGTATTAAATACACTTTTTTTAAAAAAATTAAAATGTTCTTATATAATTTTTAATAAAAAATTACTATTTTAATTCTTTAATCAGTATCCTAATAAGATTCATTTAAAAAATATTGCATGCCATGACTGAAAATATTAATTGCCTCTAATATAGGAATTTTCTAGAAAATATTTTTTTTCTATTTTATAAGACTTTTCTTTATCAACTTGTTTTTTATATTAGTTTTCATTAAAATATCAGTAGTTATTTTATAGTTTTTTAGTAAATAAACAAAAATTTAACATACTAAGATTGAGAAAGATGACTAGGTATAATTTATTAAGATAAACTATATAGTTATTACTTTGTTTAAACGTAATATAATAATTATATAAAAAGTAATTAAATGAAAAAATAATAATAATAATAATAATAATAATAGGAGTCTCGATTAACAAAATTAATCATGGTTAAATTTTTTGTTAACTAGTTAAAAGCATCTTGTGTATAAAGATGAAAGTAGTAGGCATTATGTATGATTGGAGGTTATTTTTGTATTTCCCTTATGCTTTATTTTAATTTTGAAAGGGTAAAAGGGAAATGGGGGGATGGATGAAGGTTAATAATTAAAATAAAATATAAAAAATAAAAAATAAAAGGAAAGAAATGAAGTTGGTGGAAGTTGATGAGCATTGTGGGGAAAAGTTAAGTAAAATAAAGTTTATGAGAAGGAACAATACAAAAGTTGAAAGAGTAAAATAAATGGTGAACTAAAAAATCAATTATTCATAAATATCTCATAGTTGTAAAATTCTATGGATTTTTTTTTCTTTTTATCATATTATATTATAAAACTTATATATATTTTTTTTCTTTCTAGTTGTCATTTGGGTTTATATGTATTATTTTTCAAACTGAAACCAACATTGAAGGAGATAAAAAGGCATGGAAGTTATATATAAAATATGGCGAGTTGATAAATGAAACTTCTGAGAAATCCACAGTTTTGACTAGTGGTTTATATACTTTCTATTCGTTGCATTTGGACGAATCCTTTGATTACTATAATTGGTGAAGTTTCCTTTTTCTTTCTATCTTTAACAACAACATCGATGAAAAAGTGGGAAATGGAGTTTCAAATTTCATATATATCCTTCTCCACTTTTTTTCCATCAAAATTTGTTTTATAAAATGATTTCAATTAGGACATTATCAAATATTTAAAAGGTCGTTTCTTTTTTACATCTGTACTCAATCAAATAAACAGAAGAAGAAATTTATTTTTCTTTCTCTTCACTGATATTTCTTATTTCTTTCGTAATGAACAAATAAAATAAATCCAACTTTTTTTTCTTAAAAGTTTTTACAGACACCCCCATGTATGCATTTGGCTTTATATTTGGAAAACAGCAAAAAACTATGATTATTGTCCAATTTGTTTTTTGCACGTAATGTTTTGGAGATTACAATGGAACACAAAACATATATATTATAATTAGATGGATTATTAGGTGACGTAAGCAGAGCTACATTTGAGTTCTGCATGCCCTCACGTGATTCGATTATCGTGAAAATTTTTCTTATACATAACATAAGCTTGTTAGTACTCTGGAACATGAATTTAGATACTTAGCCAATGAGAATAAAAATTCCTTTGAAACTGAACACTAAGATGATATATATATTGTCTAAGTGAAGAATGGATTTTGTCTTTTCAAAGCTTTTGGTTTTTATTTTGTAGCGATTTGTAATTTGCATTCTCACTGTCTTTTGCATCAGAAAAACAGCTTTGGTTATTACCAATTACTTAATACGTTTATCCATTTTATTCAATTCCTAATTATAATCATATTATTATGTAAACATCAACGGAACATTATTAAGAGACGTTTCATTGGTCATTTTATTATGTATTTCTTCCTATAATTTTAAAATGGTACTATTCAAAGCTGCATATTTCAATTATTAATATGCATGTTTTATTACTTTTCTAACCTATATCGAGTTTCGCCAGCACACGTGAACTTCATTCTTACTTCCGAATTTTGATAATGTTGTTTTGTAATCTTAAGTATTTAACGACTCCAATATTATTGCAATATTTCAAAACTATATATATATATATATATATATATATATATATATATATTAATTTAAAGAATTTTAATTTTTAGTGTTGTATTGTTTTAAAAAACTAAATATAATATATTATAATTTAAATCATGAATACTTATTAATTATAATTGAATAATTTAATATATAGACATAGATAAAATATTAATTAATTGGTAAAATATTTACAAAAGTATATATATTAAAAATTGATAAGTACTTATCCACTTGCATTTTGATATAACAGGACCTATAATCCATATCATTAATGACTGTCAATATGTCTTAACTTATTTTTAGTAGGATAAATAAAATGGAACAAATTTACATTTTTGGTCACCCTTAACATATTTATTTATGAACAAAAATAGGTTTTATATTCAGTGTCTGCTATTAATATAATATTTACTTATTATAATATTGTAACATTTGTTATGATATAATATATATAACTAATATTATTATATAACAATCTATATGAGAGTATTTTATATATATAATAAATGTGTTATATATTTTTTTATCATTTTATAGAAAACGAAAGAGATTGGGTGAGAATCGTATTGATTGGATAAATTGATGTGTATTACACGCGCATTCTATATAGAAAACGACTCCTGTGAAACTATTTGATCATTATGAAAATTGAAAAAAAAAATATAAATAGAAATATATATGAGTAGAGTATATTTGAATTATCAAAATTAAGAAACTACACTTGGTTTTTTAAGCAATCATGTGATTGTCATTGTCTAATTATAATCTTAAATTATGTATGCAGAATATAGACTGATTTGTGTTTGTAAGAAAATAGAAAGTAGAATATGGGAAGAAGGTGAAAAAAAGAAAAGAAAAAAAGAACTGATACATGTTGAGGAATTAAGTAATGATAGTTGAATGGTAATAAAGAATAGAAGAAAAGAGTTTGAAATAAAGAAAAAAGTAGAATTGATAAAAACGAAGTGGAAATTATAGAATAGAAATGCAAGTTGGTGATCCACTTGCATGGCGTGCCTGCGTAAGAGATGAATCACAAAAAACAAACCCTTTCTTCTCATCTAGTTTCTCTCTCTACTCATTCACTTCCAATCTCAAATCCAAAAGCAAGAAAAGAAGAAGCAAAGGGAGAGAATAAGAAACTCCATTCAACAGCAAAACTAATGCAACTTGTACTACAAAATTATTAACACTAACCCTCTCCACCACCCTCTCATTCTCATATATATGCTTTTCCTTATTCTACATCACCAAATCAAACACACACATACTCATACTCATATCGTGCCAGAGAAACCACGATATTTTCACTTTTTCTAATTATTATTATTGTTATTATTATTATTATTATCATAAATTAGATAATAATAATAATAATAACAATGCCTTCTTCTCTTCAGTTGGATAGGTTCAATCCTTTCACCGACGCCGCAACCACCGCCATCTCCAACGGCCTAAACTGCCCCAAACAGTCTCAAGTGCAGCCTTCCTTGCCCGGTCGTCGTCTCGTGGTGCCCTCTCTCCCGGACTCGGTGGCGCGGTACCACGTGCACGTGGCGGAGCCGAACCAGTGCTGCTCCGTGGTGATCCAGGCGATCAACGCGCCCGTCGCCGCTGTGTGGGCTGTGGTGCGGCGCTTCGACCACCCGCAGGGCTACAAGAACTTCGTGAAGAGCTGTCACGTCATCACCGGCGACGGCATTCGCGTCGGCGCCGTCCGCGAGGTGCTGGTGGTGTCTGGGCTCCCCGCTGAGTCGAGCACCGAGCGTCTGGAGATCCTGGACGACGAACGCCACGTCATGAGCTTCAGCGTCGTCGGTGGAGACCACCGGCTGAGGAATTACCGGTCGGTGACCACGCTCCACGCGAGCGGGAACGAGACACTTGTGATCGAGTCGTACGTGGTTGACGTACCGCAGGGTAACACTGTAGAGGAAACGTGTGTGTTCGTGGAGACAATCGTACGTTGTAATCTGCAATCGCTGGCTCAGATCGCTGAAAATAGGACCCGAATTTGTGATCATGAAAACTGTCACTGAGCGCTTTTCCTGTGTTTTTTATTTTCTTTTCGATTTAAAATGGGTTGTGTCTTCGTCTTCCGTTTTTTGTTTCAAATCCGGGTAGGAATCTTGATTCAGGCCCGTATTTGGAATTGATATGCATCATGCATGGATGGATCATCAGGTTTTTGGGACGGCAATGGTTTCATGAATCAAAATATGTATATGCATATATGATATGTGTTAATGTTCATATAAATCATCAAATGATGTTTTACTAGTTCTTTCTTTTCTTTTCTTTTCTCCTTCAACCTAGCTCGCTTGCTCGTCTTCTATTTTGTGTACATTCGTTTTCATTTTAATCATCAATTATCTAATTATTTGTTTTACGTATGGTTTTTGGTTGTTTCTTTTCGTGTTTATTACGTATATTTTCTCGATAAATGGAAAATTTATGAGATGACACACCCTACATTAATACTGTGGGTGCCATCGGGTCCTACACACTCACACTTGCACCCCTCCGCAGCATTTTTCGTCAAAAACAATACCGTTTTCTTTTCAAATTACATGATAAAAAACTCAACTTTATTTTGTTCAAGAAATTCTAACTAATTAAAAAATTTGCTTACTAATTTAACCAAAAGTAACAATTATATATCTAAAAGAAGTATTGCGGACACTCGAGCTTCTATTTGTAGGAATAAAAGAGTCTTAGAATAGAAGGATAAAATCACCCCCTTGCGATCACCAAAATACACAATAAATGTATGAATAACGGTACAATGGGAAGGATTTAGTAATAGAATATTTCCAACACTCTATTTATTCATTACTGGATTTGACTTTTACGTAAGTTTTACCAAATCATAACAGAATATTAAAAGAGTATTGAAAATATATATTGTTAAAATTTATCATATAATAAAAATCTAAAGGAAAATAAGTTTTAAAAGGGAAGTACACAACCGAGGAGTTTCAGCGTTGGTACGTAAATTAAGAAAGTTAGCTTATAGAGGCTTAATTAACCAACCATATATAATATAATACATGAGTTAAATAATGAATTTAAACGTTTGCCGCATTGTGCTTTCTGATTTAGAAAGAATAAGAGTGTAAAATTAGATATTATAACTTGACTTATAAATAATTATATTTAAGGAAAACAGTTTTATTGTATTTTATTTATTGGAAAGGGACTTAAGCTATATATATATATATTATCATTAAGTAATTTAAGTGTAAATTTAAGTTAAGAATGAGAAACTTGAGTTATATAAAAAAGAAAGTCTCAAATATTGATATTGAAAGTCTTTTTTATAATAATCATGTAAGTGTGTCCAAAGAAACCATTTGCCACTGGTCACAATGCACATAATATCGCCTATAAGGCTGTGCAAGGGAGAATAGTAGCTGAGAAAGAAGACGTGTATGTGTTATAAGTCACTGAGAATTGTTTGGGCGAATATAGTGTCTCTAACAACTGATGAGGTAAAGTGTGATGGTAGTAATAATAATTCTTATCAATTTGATTGTGCCTGTGGAAAAGAAAACTCCATTATTGATATCCATGTCTCTGAAATAATTTCTATGAGGGATCAACGTTTAATACAAGTTTAGATTTAGGGCACAACCAAGTTGCTCTGTACTTTACATATTTTCAAAAGTTGTGCCTGATATGCTTCAATGTTAGTGGGTCTAAAGCCATCATGGTCATCTTTGCCTCAAACCTTGATTTTTTCTACTTTCAGATGGGTACCAATGACCTTTATTATTTTGAATTTAGTTAATTCTATCTTTTTCTACAATAAAACTCACATGCAAATTGAGTTTATTTTCATTTAATGTAAACCGTATCATAATTTTGACTTATTAAAATTACGAATAAATATATTCTTATTGAATTTAATTAAAAACGAGAGTTGCACTCCAAGAAACAATATATACTTTCATTTTTAAAGTCAATAAAATATATTCATTATAAACACGTAATGATTGTTTCACCAGTTAAATAACTATTAGACAATCTAAAATAATATTATATTAGATTATTTTGGATGATTGATTGAATATTCAAAGAAAAAATTTTGTTTTAAAAATCATGTTAGCGTGTATTTACGAAATATTCAAACTCCTCACTGTTACTCTGACTACTTTAATGTTTTTCTTTGAGGAGCCTGCATTAATCTTAAATCACAGAGTAACATATTCTTGAATTTTTAAAATATGATACGGTTAAAGACTATATTAAAAAATAAACAAACTAAGATTATTAGTAACTTTTAAGCACACAAAAAATGATACGATGAATATATATTTATATTTTAATAGTAGAAACTCTCAAGTGGCATTTCTTTATCTCATTAGGAATAAACACCCACCGAACATTTTCCTAAATTATAGTGAATAACTTGAGTCATATAATGTTTGAATACCATTTTATCTTTTTCAGAGCGTGGAAATCGGTGTGAAACGGTGGGCATTGGTTTTTACAAGTTGTTTTCCTTCTTTATTGAAATTTACAAGTTGGTCTGAAGCTTCTTTTAATCTTGTCGGCCCCAAATTGTTCTCTCTATGTGTAGGTATAAGCGGAAGGGTAAACGAAACCCTGATACTGATAAAATCGTTAACATTTAAAAATAAATATTAAAGAAAAAGGCATGCAGGTAGTACGAGGAGCATATATATATATATAATATTAACAAATTGATTATCATATTATATAAGTGTAAATTTACGGATTAGGACGTCATAATAAACAAATTTGTAGAATGAACTCTTAAGTGCAAGTTGGCAGGGATGGACTCAAGTTGTTGGGTAGACAATGCATGGCAAGTTGTTGTTGTTGTTGTTTGCCATGGCCATTATTCTCTCTCTTTGTGCTATCGTTAATATATATATATATTATACAAATGTCACTTGTAGGTTGGAAGGGATGGAAAGAAATGCAAGTTGGGTTGCAAGTGGGAATTCAAAAACATTCTTTAACGTTTCATGAACCTTACTGTTAGAACAATGGTGTCCCATGAACGAGTCATTTAGACATTTTACCATACAAAAGACTTGGTCAAATCACCAATAATTATGCACTGTTTCATTTACTCATGAAAGATTCCTCTTTCGGCTTTCACCCTTCATATTGCGTCTCTTTTCGACTACCATGTCCAATACAAATTCAATATCTCATATCCTTCTTTCCCTTTCTAAACAATTATTATAAATAAGATTGGTCTTATTCTATTTTTTTTTCTATTATAATAAATATTTACTTCAATTATATTTATTTTTTTATAGAATGAATATAAGATGTATTTCTTTTATGAATTTGGTCCTTTTTGTGTAGCGCAATTGAAGAAATGGTAAAAAGAAGTTCCCCAAGCCTTGAAGTTTTCAAATAATTAATTCGAAAGAAGGAATAAAGAAGGGAAAGTGAGAGTTGAATCATTAATGTTGACTCAACCAAAATCAAACCACTGAGCGAATGTGAAGCAAAGCTAATTAGCATTATAAAAAATTATTTTTTAAAATTAGCTTAATGAAACCGCTGCAAAATTTTTCTTCCCTGCCTAATTTCAGAGTTTAAAAAAGTAGGGTAATCCGTTGGATATTCATAGGAGAGGAAGTTATTAGAAGAGTCATGGTATCTCAAAATTTTGTAATGATTTTGATTCTATAAATTTAATTATCATTAAATATTTGGATAATATATTATTTAATCCAAAAATCATTATCTTTTAAGAAAAATAGTTCTTTATCGTTGATTGTTCATGTTACTTTCTAGTATTATTAAGAGCTTAAATTTCATAAAAAAAAATTAAGATTTAATTATAATAAAGACAATAAGAAGTACTCCATCTATTTTAAAAGATATGAAATTTTTTCGGAAAGTTTTGTTTCTAAATATTTGATATTTACAAAGTTTATAAGAATGTATTAATTACTCTTTTATTAGTTATATATATCCCTTTTATTAATTATATTTATTGTTTTCTTAAATATTTTCTATAAATAATTTTAATATTGAAATATAATAAAAATATACAAGTGTTATAAATATTATTCTAGTTATATTATTAGTTAACGTGTGAATAGGTTTATAAATCACACTTATCATATCACATAAATTTATATAAACACAACGTCGTTAATATATTTATAAAAGGTAGAGTGTTAACCTATATTGCAGTTATGGAATTAATTTTTTTATTTGTTCAGATTCATAACTACAACAAAAATAAAATATATAATAAAATAGGTCGCTAACTTGATTAGCCACTGAAATAACAATCTGATCGCATAAACCTTGATTAGAAAATTCTTAGCAACAAAATATTTGCTCTTTTGCTAATAGTTACCAGAATTTAAAATATTTATTGGGCCACTAAATTTTGGTTGCTCGAACTAATTTAGTGACTGAGATATCTTAATTCACTAATTGGATATTTTTACAATAAAATATTGCTACTTCTAAAATAAAATATCATTCTTCGTCTTGATCTGTTTCTTTATTTTATGTGTTGTTACCTCTTATTCAACTAAATTGACATAGGCAATTTGACAAACACCTTGAACACAACGATAACTTTTCAATTACAATGGCAATATGACATACACGCTGAACACATAACAGTAGTTTTTCTCAAAAAAATGTTAGACCGTGTTCTACACTTCCTCAGACAGTAAGTTTCTCCTATGATATGGGCATATTTTTTTAATAACATTCTATACTTCTATGGACAACAAAGCGCTTAATAATTTGGCAAAGAAGAATTTGAAAGTAACCATTTCACATGCATTGCTATTTTGACTCAGCTTGAGGTTAAAATATTGGCACAAGTGAGTGATAGTACCCCGTCATCTTTCATTTGCCAAATCGTAACAATTTAACCAAACCGAGTTAGGGAAATATTTATAAAGGTTAAATTTTAGGAATTAAAATCAAAATGTTATATTGATAAAGACTAAAAAAACTTATTTAAGTATAGTCTTTATTTCCTTGACCCAATAATAACTAAATATATTTCTACTAGATTAATTAA